AAATTAACAGGACTTAAGAAACAAAGAACTCCCACTCATCTGGTCGAACCACTACTAAATATCCCCATGATGCTAATCACATGTATGGTGTATATGTGTACACCGTTATGTGTTATAGACAATTTACTCCAGGAAAGTTAGTATGAGCTTGTGACTTTAAATGAGCATCATTATTCCACAATACTGTGAAAGTTGGGAAATTATGTAATCACTTAATCACACACACACACAAAAAAAAACCACCAGAAAACTAGAAGTGGTGCTATGGCTCAAGTGGTAGAGCATGAGCCTTGAGCTGAATTGTTCAGGGATAGCTACCAGGCCTAGAGCTCAAGCCCCACGACTGACAAAGAGAGAGAGAGAGAGAGAGAGAGAGAGAGATCTTTCATGTGATTGTTTCTAACATATTTATAAGATTATGTCTTTGTTGCCTTGTATGTCCCTCCCCCATGGTATAACCCCTGCTTTCACTATATATGATGTTGGTATATGTGGAGGGGAAGGGAAAAATCAAATTGTTAAAACAGGGCTACAGGAGGACCCATTGCAACAATGAGATGTACAAGTCGTTATGTCGAAAAACGAACTTTACAACTTTGGTGGGGGGGACGGGGGGGAATACGAAGGGATGGGAAGGGGAAACAAAGCAGGAGGCTACAGTGCTTGATAAGAAATGTGCTCATTATCTTACCCATGTAATTGTAACCCCTCTGTACAGTATTTTCACAATAAAAATATATTTAAAAAAATTTCAGGATCTTACCCTTATTGATTTTCATTGTGTCTCTTCCTTTAGAATTTATATATTGACTACTAACAAAGGACCCAGTGGGGAAGCTCACTTATAATTCAGAACACCATTTATGTGACTGTCGATGAGGGTCACCATTGAACAGACCACAAAGAATAGACTTTTATTTTAAAAAAAGAAAGAAAACAAACTTGGGGGGGGCTGGAGTCATAGCTCAAGTAGTAGAGTGCTAGCCAATGAGTGAGAGAGAGTATCAGTGAGTTTGAGTCCTGGTCTTGGACCATAAACTCCAAAACTAAACCAAATCATGGAATTATTGTTTTGCCAGCCTTGGGGCTTGAACTCAGGGCCTAGGCACTGTTCCTGAGGTTCTTTTGCTCAAGACTAGCACTCTACCACTTGAGCCACAGCGCCACTTCAGCAATTTCTGTTTATGTGGCACTGAGGAATCGAACCCAGGGCTTCATGCATGCTAGGCAAGCACTCTACCACTAAGCCACATGCCCAGCCCCAAATCATGGAATTCTTATTTATAATGATATATATAGACAGCTCTACAGAATTTATATGTTTTTGAATTGTCAAAGATGAAAAAAAACACACATCACAGCAGTGACGTGCCTATAATCCTAGCTACTCCGAAGTCAGAGATCTGAAGATCATATTTCAAAGCCAGCCTGGGCCAGTAAGTCCCTGACACTCTTATCTTCAGTTAACCAGGGAAAACCAGAAGTGTAGCTGTACTCAAGTCGTAGAGCACCAACTTTGAGTGAATAAACTCAAGGTCAGTGCCCAGACCCTGAGTTCAAGCCCCAGTACCAGCACACACACACACACACACACACACACACACACACACACACACAAATACAAATGATATGAAAACTCTCATCTTGTATTTCAAACATGATTTTTATTTTGGGAAAAATACCTTGAAGTCAAGGATTGTAGTAGTGATTTTATGTCACGGAATCACTCATCACTCCTTCTTGAGTAAAAAGCTATATTAAAATTCCTGGAGATCTCCCCAATATTTATAAAAAAGTTTTGGGGGCCAGGCACCAGTGGCTCCTACCTGTCATCCTAGCTACTCAGGAGGCTGAGATCTGAGGATCACAGCTCAAAGCCAGCCTGGGCAGGAAAGTCCCCACAAGACTCTTATCTCCAATAAACCACTCAAGAACCTGAAGTGGAGTTGTGGCTCAAAGTGGTAGAGTGCTAGCCTTGAGCAAAAGAGCTCAAGGACAGCACCAAGGCCCTGAGTTCAAGCCCATGGCCGACAAAATAAGAATTTGTGGGAGCACTGAGTAGAGCTAACCAACAGTGGCTCACCTGCCTTCGACTTTGGAGAAAATGTTAATTGAAGATTGAAGATTGAGGTATTGGAAATTGATGCCTCTGATAGGCAGAAGTGGTCATAGGAAATTATTAATAAACATCTATTCACCCGAAAATCATCCAGGTGTCTTGGGTCCAGAATGTCAGGAAGAAAAAAAATTGCTTTGTGTACAAAGCAAAGTCCCATAGGGAAATGCTTTGGAGCCCGGAGACTGGATTAACAAGAGAGAAACCTATCTAAAGAACACATTCACATCCCCTGCCCCAGCCCCTTGGATTGGACAGGACACAGCTGTTTCCTCCGAAGTCCACATCTGGCTAGGGGACGGATGCGTGGCCATTTCTTGCTGGCCTGTTTCATTGCATCACTTTTTAAAAAAAAAAAAAAGTCTGCATCATTGACAATCCAAGGAGGAATTAGCGTTTCCAGGCTGAGACTTCATCCGAAACAACTCACCCAGGTGAGAATCTGTGGAGGGGTTTTGAGAGGTGGACGCCGGGAACATTTGTCTATGGCGGCACAATGCGTTTCAACACCCTTTCCAGAACTGAGAGGCGGCTGTGACTGGTTCGCGTGTTTGATTACCAGGTTGATGTGTTTATCACCAGGTTGGACAGGGAAGTAGACCTAGAACTCAGCAAGGTCAAGTTTGATAGGAAAGAGACAGCAAAGCCAGGGCCTGGTGGGAGAGAATTGAGAGGAGGATAGTGATTTTCCTCTAATCCAAGTCTTCAAGGACCTTAGCTGCCAATTAAGAAAAGTTACCAAGGGGGGTTGCTCGTGAAGAGCGAAACAATGAAGTGATTTCTGACACGGGTGACCATATTGATTTGCGTATTGGCCATTTTCTCCAGGGATCATTCTTTCTAGCTTATTATCAGAAAATTTCCAGTGGTTTCTTTATGATTGAAAGTGCCTAGCAATTAAACAGTTCACATAGCAAAATACTTTCCTTACTGCATCCTGCCTTATTCAAGATGATTATTTTTGTCCATCTTTTTTTTTAAATTTAGTACTTCCTTAATGCTTCTTTAAAATGTGCCAATTAATTTCCAGAATGAGGTCTTCAATGCAGCTCAGATTCTTTTTTCTTTCTTTAAAAACATTATCGTTAAGTAGTTGTACAGAGGGGTTTCCATTCAACATGTCAGTTTGTGAGAGCAATGCATCCCCACCAATTATTACCCCTTCCATCTCCTCCCCATCTCTCCCACCCATCCCCTCAATTTCCCTAATTCTACTTATTTTTTTAGTTTTATTGTTGTTTTAAAGGTATTAGACAGCGGGTTACCGTTACACACATTGAGTGATAAGTACATTTCTTCCTTTTGCTTAATATCAGCTTTTCCCACATTCTCTTTCATTCCCTCCCTCCCATTTCCGCCCATCCTAATTCTATTTTTACATATACTCATAGAATATTATGATTGTTTCCTCTCTTCGTTCATCTACCCTCCTCCCAATGACCTCATCTATCCTGATACCCAAGATTCCAATTTCCTAGTATTCGTGTGGTTAGGCTGTAAGTTAGTTATTCAAAGGATTTAAACCATTGGAGTTCTTGCCTCTCTGTGTGTGTGTGTGTGTGTGTGTGTGTGTGTGTGTGTGTGTGCATGCATGGAACCCTGGGAGTTTTTCTAAAATATGTGATTCCCAATGTCATTTTCCCTGGGATAGAGAATCATTCATCTCAGCTTTTATTTAACTCGGTGCTTTTCCATCTTAATTAGAATACAAACTCTAAGCTGGGAGAGATGGGCGAGAGCAATGGGACAGGGGACACTGATCTAGATTCATTGCACCGCCAGGCACCGGTGGCTCACGCCTGTCATCCTAGCTACTCAGGAGGCTGAGCTCTGAGGATCGTGTTTGAAGCCAGCAGGGGCAGGAAAGTCTATGAGACTCTTATCTCTGATAAATCACCAAAAGCTAGACGTGGAGCTGTGACTTAATTGGTGGAGCACCAGCCTTGAGTAAAAAAACCACAAAGACATGGCCCAGGCCCTGAGTTCAAGCCCCAGGACCTGCACTAAAAAAAAAAAAAAAGCCTTGTACTCACAAATCATTATAGTGAGTCAAAACCCCTTTGGAAAAAAACCTCAAAGATAGCAGAAATAAAATAAAACTTGAAGAATACAAACTCGCCCATGTTACATGCCTGTATGAACTGAGACTAGGGTATAGAAACAGAATCTGTATTTAGTCATAGATTAGTAGTATTTATTAAGTACTAATTATACACCTGTTAGTGTTAGTATTAAATGTTAAATCTGTTTCTGGTGTTTATATTAGAGAATCATTCTCTATTATGTTCTTCTTTGTCTAGGTCATAGCCGACGATGTGAGTTTTCCATCTCGGGAGCATCGTATTTATTATTGGGACCGGAGGCCTCGTGGCCAGGACAGACAGTGACAGATGGAAATAGCCAAGAGATGCTTCGGCGTCCCCAGGGAGTCCTGTGGTTATCTAGGATGGAAACGCAACACGACCTGCTGAGCGACCCCTCGTGTCTTGAGGTCTCAGAGGTGACGGGCTGGGCTTTATCTCCACCACTCTCCATCCCTTGCTGTCTTCTCTTCTCCCTACCTTCCTTTTGGCCTTGGGGGTCTGAATGGAGACCCTTCCTTTGGTCTCTGCACTGGCCATGGCTCTTTCCAGATACAAACTTGTGTAGATAACTCTGTACCCTCCCTCCCCTGGTCTTTCTAGAACACCCAGTGCAAGTTAACTTGTCCTGTTCACATTCGTCTCCCGTGTATCCCTCTTCTTGCACCTGCCTCTCTCTGATAAGGTTGCGTGATCACTCAGTTACCTGGTCTTAGCTCTTTCCTTTTACTTGTACGTTTACACCCTGCACTCAGTTCTTTCTCCCTTTGTGTTTTTTCCTTCACGAAGGCACATCGAAACACATGGGACCAGAGAATGATTCCCGTGTTTCCGGATTTCTCCTTCTGGGAATTTCAGAAGACCCCAGGTTGCAGCCTGGTCTCTTTGGGTTGTTTCTGTCCATGTATCTGATCACAGTGCTCGGGAATCTGCTCATCATCCTGGCCACCGCCTCCGACCCCCGTCTGCACACGCCCATGTACTTCTTCCTCTCCAACCTGTCCTTCGTGGACGTCTGCTTCACCTCTACCACCGTCCCCAAGATGCTGCTCAACCTCCACACGCACAGCCAGGCCATCAGCTACGAAGAGTGCATCACCCAGACACATTTTTTTGTCCTCTTTTCCGGGTTGGACATCTTCCTGCTGACCGTGATGGCCTACGACCGCTTCGTGGCCATCTGTCACCCGCTGCGCTACACGGCCATCATGAGCCCCCGGCTGTGTGTGGGGCTGGTGCTGGGCTCCTGGCTCATCAACATCACCGATTCTCTTCTGCAGAGCTTCATGGTGCTGCGGCTGACCTTCTGCACCCACTTGGCAATCCCCCACTTCTTCTGCGAACTGAACCAGGTGGTCCACCTGGCCTGCTCGGACACCTTCCCCAACGACGTGGTGATCTACTTTGGCGTGCTGCTGCTGGTGTGCTTTCCCCTGGCGGGCATCCTGTATTCCTATTCCCAGATCGTGTCTTCCATCCGGGCCATCTCGTCGGCCGAGGGCAAGTACAAGGCCTTCTCCACCTGCGCATCTCACCTCTCCGTGGTCTCTTTATTCTACTGCACCGTCCTCGGGGTGTACCTCAGCTCTGCGGTGACCCAAAATTCTCACTCCATTGCCATCGCCTCGGTGATGTACAGCGTGGTCACCCCCATGCTGAACCCCTTCATCTACAGCCTGAGGAACCAAGATCTCAAGAGCGCCCTGAGAAGACTCTGTACCTGAAGCAAAACCCCTTGTGCGGGGACTGGAGCAGTGGTGGCCGGAGGCCGGATGTGGGATCTCTCATTCATTTATGTGGTTTTTCATTTGACGGTAGAAGTTGTCCCATTCTATGACGTTCCTGGAGTTTCTCTGTTTTCGGCTTCTCTCTGCAATTCAGCTGCAGTACTTTCTCAATTAAACTGTATCCCATGTCTGGGTTCTGAGTCTGTCCGTGGGACCATTCCCCAATCTTTCCAAAGGTTCTTTTGAATCACATACACCTGGAATTCCTTCTTCATCCTGCAAGCTTGGTGTTTACAAATAACTTCATTTCAAATAAGATAGATTATGCAAAACAACTTCATTAATGAGAGTCATCAGATGTTCCAATTTATGTGTGAAATTTAGTTTGGAAACTAAAGTCCCATGTAATCTTTTTTTGGGGGAAAGAGGGGTGGTTGGTTATGGGTCTTGAACTCAGGGCTTGGGTGCTGTCCCTGAGTTTTTTCACCCAAGGCAAGCACTGTATCACTTTGAGCCACAGCACCACTTCCGGTTTTCTAGTGGTTTACTGGAGATAAGTTGCATGGGCTTTCCTGCCCAGGCTGGCTTTGAACTGCGATCCTCAGATCTCAGGCTCCCAAGCAGCTAGGATGACAGGCGTGAGCCGCTGGTGCCCGGCCCCCATGTAGTCTTTTAGTTGGGAAAGTACCTGAGTTGTCACTTGTGGCTTTCTTTCATGGACTTCCGATGGAGGACCGTGTCTTCTCAGTGTGGTGCGCCCTGGCTGGGGAGCAGGTTTTATTCTCATATTTAAAATTCTCCTCCATCCTGGCTCAGTGTTCTCATGGTGCCACATTTCACCAGGCAATTCAACACCCAAAGGTATCTGCTGAAGCATCTTTCTTTAATCCTTATTTTTGTGCCAATTCTGGAGCTTAAACTCAGGGCCAGGCAGACTTGATGAGCTTTTCAGCTTGAGGCTGGCACTCTACCACTTGGGCCACAGCTCCAGTTCCAGCTTTTTTGGTGGTGAGTTAGAGATAAGAGTCTAACAGATTTCCCTGCTCTGACGGGCTTCAAATTGTGATCCTCAGATCCCAGCCTCCTGAGTAGCTAGAGTTGCGGGTGTGAGCTACTGGTGCCCAGCTTTTCATTTCCTCTTGAACTCCTTTTTCACTTTCCCTCACATAGCCATATAACTGCATTATCTGTCGTTTACTTAGAATTCCCTTAGCAAGATTTCTTCAATCATAGGCAGACTAGCCCGTGGGATTTTTAAGTACATGCACCCAAGGGAACCAACATCGGAGAAACCCAACAAAATCCCCGGAGGCAAAGCGCACACAGCACAACGCTGAAGGATCTGAGCTGTGGAGGGAGGGCCCAGTGATTTCTGATTTTTTTAACACACTGGTCAAAAGCATGTAAGACAGATTCAGTGTGCAGGAAGATGCGCTGTGCCTGTACACCATCCTGGACAAGCAGGCGAATCACTTTCTCCTCTGGCTTTGTTCTTCTGATTGATGTGGGAAGGTTGGAACATGAAATATGCAGACTTGGGATGATGGCAAAGGTTGGCACCTTTAGGAAGGGCTGTAGTGGAGAGGCCGAGGCATCAACACAGACACTGCACCCTAACCAGCAGAGAGAAGTCAGGGCATGGTCTAATTTGAAGCACAGGATTGTCGCTGAAACCCTAATACTGCATTATCCAATGTGTCTATCTAGAGCGGTCAGACTCATGCATGCACAGAATGGGCTGGCAATGTGAAGAAAGTGGGGAGTCTGGTTTTTTGGTTGTTTTGTTTTTTAGTGGACATAGACTTAATTATTGAGGAAAAGCTCATAGACACAAAAGCTTCCTAGCCCTAAGTATCATCAGAATTTTCTATGAGCTGGACTGGGAAGGTGGCTGAGTGGTAGGGCGCTTGCCTTGCGTGTATGAGGCCCTGGGTTCGATTCCTCAGCACCACATACGCAGAAAAAAAAGCTGGAAGTGGTGCTGTGGCTCAGGTGGTAGAGAGCTAGCCTTGAGCTGAAGAGCTGAGGGACAGCGCCCAGGCCCAGAGTTCAGACCCCACAACCGGACCACCCCCCCAAAAAAAAGAATTTTCTATGAGCCTAGATCTCATGTGAAGAATTTTGGGGGGGTCGATTGTGGGGCTTTATCTCAGGGCCTGGGTGATGTCCCTGAGCTCTTTGTGCTCAAGGCTAGCAGTCTGTCACTTTGAGCCACAGCACCACTTCTGGTTTTTGAGTGGTTAATTAGAGATAAGAGTGTCACGGAGACTTTTCTGCCCGGGCTGGCTTTGAACCGAGATCCTCAGATCTCAGCCTCCTGAGTAGCTAGGATTACAGGTGTGAGCTACCAATGCCTGGCTTATGTGAAGCAGTCTTACCACATACAATGCAATGCAATGAAATGAATGGAGGTAGAGGAGAACCGGAGGTGACCAGCCTTTCTGTACCATCGCCTTCACATGTGTAGCTCATCCAGTCCTGCAGGTCACTTCTATGCAATTCCTTGTGCTTCCACTGTGCCTTGATAAAGCTACCTAAATCTGAAATGCAAGGCTGATGTGGCACTGTTGTACTTCACATGTCTTCACACTCCAAGACTTCAGGGAGCATCCGCATTCTTCCACATCCCCTGGAAAAATCCTCCCAACATCCCTCTCAAGCTCCTTCTGGATCCCATCTTACTCTGTTGTGAATTCTGATGTATGTGACTCAGGCAACTTCCTTAAGGCCTTTGCACCACTATTTCTGCCTTCCTGACATGGCCACAGATAGCCATGTGGCTCATTTTGCTGCCTTTATGTCCTTCAAATGACATCTATCTCCCAAGGAACACTAAGTACAAAACCTAGCCATGCCATTTTGTTGTTGCTGGTGGTGGTGGTGGTAGGGCTTGAACACTGGACCTGGGCACTGTCCCTAAGCTCTTCAGCTCAAGGCAAGCTCTCCACCATTTGAGCCACTTCTGGTTTTCTGGGGGTTCATTGGAGTTAAGAGTCTCACAGACTTTCCTGCCTGGACTGGCTTTGATCCACAATCCTCAGATCTCAGCTTCCCAAGTAGCAAGGATGACAGGGGTGAGCCTTTGGCTCCCAGCAAGAGAGCACACCTGTCTTTGTCAATCTGCTTTCCCTCCCTTCGGCTTTGTGCCAAGTAGTGGGTGGCTTGATCTGACTGACGGAATTGTGACCTCTAAAGAGCGAGACAATCCACCAAGGCATGGTTAAAGGTGGCAAAAATTATTTACACTATACAACAGAAAGGGAGCCTGCGACTACCTTGTCCTGAGCCAGATACCCAGAACCAAGAGCAGCGTCAACCACCAAACCTCCAAGCCTCCAATGGGCAGCCCAACCTTTATTAGTCTGTCTGCAAACCTCCAACCCCAGACCTCCAAAGCTCCAAAGATTCAAAGCTCCACAGGGGAAGGCTTTTCCTTTCCCTTCCTTCCTCTTTCTCTGCAGGCCTCTGTACTCTCCACAGGCCTGCCCAGCTCTGCTCCGATAGGCACCTCTCCGCAGGCCTCTCCACAGGCCTCCCCACAGGCCTCCCCACAGGCCTCTCCACAGGCCTTTTCTCAGGCCTCAGGCCTCCCCATGAAGGGCTAAAGTAATTCCATTCATGAGGCAGTGACCATTTGTTGCTTGTTTATCTCAGCTAGCAGAGCAACACCTGGTGGTAATCCAAACACCTGGTTGTGTGCCTTTATAAGCCCTGCAAATCTTTAGCTCGGGGCTCTCCTCCTAGGCTCCACTGTGTCAGAGTGTAGGATGAGGCCCAAGCTGCAGCCCGTCTAAACAAAACCTTACTTTTGCTTTTTGGAATGTCTGACTCTTGGTGGTCTTCTTGGTGGGGTCCTGCGACTTGGGCACAATACCCAGAGGCCTCTCTGCAGGCCTCTCCCTAGGCCTCAGGCCTCCGCACAGACTCTCTGTGGGCCTCTCCGCAGGCCTCTTCGCAGGCCTCAGGCCTCCCCACAGGCCTCCTCCGCAGCCCTCTCCACAGGCCTCTCCACAGGCCTCTCCCCAGGCCTCAGGCCTCCCCACAGGCCTCTCCACAGGCCTCTACCCAGGCCTCAGGTCTCCCCATAGGCCTCGCCTCAGGCCTCTCCTCAGACCTCTCTGCAGGCCTCTCCACAGGCCTCTCCCCAACCCTCAGGCCTCTCCACAGGCCTCTCCCCAGGCCTCAGGTCTCCCCATAGGCCTCGCCTCAGGCCTCTCCTCAGGCCTCTCTGCAGGCCTCTCCACAGGCCTCTCCTCAGGTCTCCCCAAAGGCCTCTCCTCAGGCCTCTCCCCAGGCCTCAGGCCTCCTCACAGGCCTGCCCCGCTTGGCTCCCGCAGGCTTTCCCCTCCTGCTGTCTGTCTCTCCATTCACCCCGTTGTTGGGAACACACACCTTTATATAGGCTGCGCCCTTCCCCACTCCAATGGGACTCATGGTTTCATCTGCCTGAAGGTTTCCAACCTTCATTCATGTCCCTCCCCCAAGCTGCCTACAGTCCAATCACTTCTTGACAGCTCGCCATGTGGGGCTTGATGCCCCAGCCCACTCCAGCAGCACGCCCCACCCCCTTCCAGCGGCATGCCCCGCCCCCCAGCAGCACACCCATGGTGGTGACATCAGCCTCTCGAGGCCCCGCCCCCTCCAGTGGGCGGGGCCTGGGGCCACGCTGATCACCTGATCCTGGGCCGCAGATCTCCGTGGTGAATGTGTACATTCATTTACATCCCACCAGCATTGTCTTTGAGGCCCCTTGGTTCCTCCTCTTCCTGGGTATGTTTTGTTGT